AAAGACAAATAACAATAATAAAGACACTGAAGATGAAACAGGCATGGAAAACAAGAAAAATCTTTCAAAACAGGTGATGAGCGAGAAATGTACTTTTAAGACTTGCAAGATTCTATTAATCTTGATAAAACTAGTACTCCTGGCTGTGCTGCTTATTTGTATTATCTTGTAATGCTTACAAAAAAATAGAAGGAAAGAGAAGAGGATGACCAAGAGCAAGATGGACTCGGTTGCACTGGTGATGAGTGTACCTTTGGAAGATATGAAAGACCAGGTCATGGACAGATTACCATGGAGAAAATCTATATAGTTGCTAAGGGTTGACAAGGATTTGATAGCACATATTCAATCAATTTCTATGAATAAAGTTGAATTCTGAATACAATTTTAGCTTTCCTATGATAATGATAACTTGGAAAAGAAGCTTAAAGTATCAAAAATGCTAAAATATTGGAGATCTTAGCAAAATACTTCATAAACTTATATATGGTGTGGGAATTATTTTTTTCCATTTTTAAAAGATTATAAATTATCCTGGCCAGCATTGTGTAACACACTAATCCTAAACCAAACCACATTGTAGCTTAATTCAAAGAATGAACCAAACCTTTTTCTCTCAGCACAGATGTGAGATATTTGAAATTATAGACAATGCTAAGCACCACATAGACACAAATACACACATAGAGAGAAAGCAAGAGATATAAACATAATTCTGTACATAGATATTGGAACTACATAGTTTTTCAGTTGCTTTTTTAGAACTTTTCTTTTTAATGGTAATTTAAATGCACAAAAATAACATTCATGATGTTAAACATCTTTTCACTTTTACATTTTTATGCCATCAAATTATTGCTGTAGTAGTATAAAATAAATGTGATCCTCTTGATTTTTAAATGTTTTAATCTAATTTCTCCATTTGTGTTTGCTCCATATGAAGTTATGCTAACACAATGTATGATTAAATACCATTAATATAGTTCTATTTTAAAAAGTTAGGTATTAACCATTTCAATATGAAATACATGTCAATTTACATATTACATTAGTCATCAAAGTTTAAAGCGCAACAAAATAAAGAAAAATGTGACTGGAATTTTTTCAAATAGCTTGAGAAAGAGAGAAATACTTCAGTACGTTATGAATTAATTTATGTGAATCATATGTCCAATTTGTAAACGGCTGTTTTTTTTATTACTATGTTTCTCTCCCAAAAAGATTTCTACTGACCTTCCTTTTCTTGTAAAACTTCGCTCTGCATAATACATTCTCTAATCCAGATCACTTATTTTTCTTCCTCTTAGTTATAGTGCTTGTCAACTTGCATTACAGCTGAATAAGAAAGAAATACAAAGGCATACCCTTGGGTAGAAAAGTAGTGCAGCTTTGCAGGATGGGCAAGCTTAATCATATAAAATAATTACAACAGGGACTAATAATAAATATAACCATAAAGGTTATGATCTTGACTATCACTGAGATTAATTTTAAGAAACAAAACTGTACAAAAGGGAACATGATTAGATTAGTTTAGATTAGACATGGACATTTTTTATCTTTTCAGGAAAGTCCACCTACTATAATTCTAAAAATACCTTACTGTACATATAGGATCAACATATTTATTTAATCTTCAAATCCAGTTGTTCCTGAGGAAGTGGTTTTCTAGCATTTCTTGATTGGTGAAAACCGCCAAGGAGATAACAAAAGGTTTTATCAAAATGGTGATGAATTATCTTTAACATGCAACATAATGCTGTTGGCCTTGAAAAAAATGCACCTCTTCAAAAAAGGACATCCCAGATTTTGACCAGGAATTTTGGGGAACTATTGCCAGTCTTCAACTTCCCCTTTGGGTTAAGATTGGTCAAGAAAGTAATGGACTTGCAACTGTGGACATACCTGGATGAGATGTATGATTTTAACTCTTTTTTAGTTGAATTTCAAGGTGATAAGAACTGAGATAACATTGATTATACTTGTGATGGGACCAGGACAGGAGAGTACAGACTTTTTGATCCTGCTTGATATCTCAAGTGCCTCTGATACCTTTGATTACAGTATCCTTCTGATGGCTGGGAATAGGGTCACTGCTGTCCACTCTTCAGGGGCTAAATTGAACCCTGCATTATGAGGTGCTATAGGATTCATCTCTCTTATTCCTCCAATCATCAGATCGGGGAGGCAGAATCTATAGAGGATAGTAATCTCAAAGACACCAATTCCTAAGCCATATAAGTTATCACTTTATAGATTATAACCAGTACCTTGCACTTAGAAATATACTAGTAACAAGTGCAGTTTCTGCAGCAATGGTATTACATGGAAGCAAGTTGATTGTCCAGTAACCATAAATATAAAACTAGTAATGGGAATCTCTTGAACAGATGTCAAGGCTGTGATAAGACTGCAGTTGTAACATAGTACAATCTGGGCAAAGGCTCTATTTTCATTCTGTCTCCAACATATAGACTCTATAGCAATAATAAGTTTTGAAATTAATATTTTTTATGGAGAAATGTGAAATTGCCATCCCTTAATTTATTTATTTTAAAATTGCTTTTTGAACGACATAACTGATCTAAATTAAAAATGTGATAAAAAGTTTTCCAAAGCTTCATTTTGAAGGGACATAACTGAAAATCAGAAACGTAAAATTTATACATTCATATTTCAGTCTATATACCAAAGCTTTACAGTGTCCTTGGCATTCTCTTTAATGTGATGATTAACTGAAAAAATATTTACTGCTATAGTGTCATAATTTTAGTTTGATTGTTTAAAGAGCATTTAGGATATAAAGTACAGTACATGAAGTACATTTTTGATTTATAATGACTATCTGAAGACAACCACTTGCTGACCACCCATTCTTCAGAGGTAATCTAATTATGCTGGAATCTCGAATACTACTTAATGTTCTATATTGCCATCTGAAAGATGCTTCAGATTTTCACTTCTTCAATAGTGACCCACAATTCTTGCTTGGAAAATGAAAAGGGAGAGCAACTCAAATATTTATCATCATCATCATCATCACCATCATTATTATAACTGCTATCATTTAAAAAAATAACTGCATGATAAAATGAAATACTAATGGTTCCTGACTTGTGGGATGAACCATTCATATATATCCATCAGTGACAAAATTGTGGAGAAATTTAACTGCAAACTAAAATTTTGGCTAGCTTTTCCAATTACAATTTTCTGAACTAATATAGAAACTAAAACTTAGGTATTATTTCAAAACATACTTAGTGTAACTTTGCAGTATTGTTTATCAATGAAAAATGAATATTAGTCTTTACAGAAATACATAATGAGAGGGAAGTGGAGTTATAAAGGTAGAGGAAGATTAATTTAATAGCTCCAAAACAAACTGACAAATAGTAAAGTGCATCCAGTTGCACTAGCTATGCTGACTCAGGAATTCTAGGAGTTGAAGTCCACAAGTCATAAAGAGCCAAGTTTGCCTACCCCTGCAACTAGTGCAACTCCCACATGGTTATTTCCTTGCTGGTGAATTTGCACAGGTAGAGATGTGGTAATTTATCCTTCTTTTTGTGACTGATGAGAAAAGCAGAGATGTTTACCTTTACCTCTGCAATAACAACCAAGGTCAGTTGGCAGTTATTCTTTCTAAAAGGGATGAAGTTCCGTGCAGTCACTTAATAACTGCATCTCAGCTGCATTTGTTCTAGGAAGGGCCTTTAATTCCTCACCAATAGCAGAAGGCAGAGTGTATTCCACTTTTGCTTGCCACCCTCAGATGCTCTATTGTTATTTCTGAAGATAAACATTCCCTCACATATATGCCAATCTCCATCGGACTTGAATTTTAATGCATCAATAGCAGTTGTACTGGCTTTTTAACACAATTGATAAGAAAATAGCAAGCAATTATGATTGCTGATCAATGAGGAAAAGAAATCCAACACTATATTTTTATTAGAATGAACTAAATGACAAAAGCATTCTCAAATTCTGGATTCCGTAGATATCTTCATAAAGCAAAATGCTATGAAACACTAGGAATGAAAAAGAAGAAACTGTTAAGAATAGAATAGTAGAATAATAACTTTATTGTCACTTTGAATGTACACTAATTGGCATACATTAAAATGAAATTTCGTTGCATACAGCTCTCAAAGGGTCACCACCTCCGATATATTGTACACTACATAAACATGACAAAAATAAATACAAAATTATGCATATAATATATGACACAGAGAAACAACAGTCTAGTTCAGGTTATGTACACATGTGCATGGCAAGAAAAAAAAATCTTGTGAGTCTACCAGATGGATGGCATAGGGAACAAAGCTATTACAGAATCTCATAGACCTGCTAGAAACACTCCCCTCCCAGAGGGGAGCAACAGAAACAGACCATAAAGTGGGTGTGTGGGGTCTCTAACAATGCTTTGAGTTCTAAGTACATAGTGCTTTTAAGCAGCATCCTGAATACCAGGAAGCGAGCTTCCTTACCATTTTCTGTATGGAACTTTCTATCTGAGGCACTGCTATAAGATATCTGCGGATTAGTCTTATGCTAATAGTTGTAAATTCCTCAATGTGAATTCTGTGCCAGTTTGAATCCAGTTTAGGACCTCTGTGTTCCCATTACATTGACTATGTATGAGAGATATACACTGGGTTCAGCTGTTGTATGACTGATGCTGCAAAAAATATTTTCTTTAAGATGCAATGCTGGAACTATTGCCTCAGCCTATTTGCTACTGGTGGGTTCAACTGCTAACCTTACAAGAGGAAAATGGCTTGAGGACTTCAGCTTTTTTTCTTATAAGAACCACTGATTTTTATCTATCTAGATGGAATCTATGCACAGAAGAATTTATACAAGTATTGTCTGTCTCCATTCAACTTAAACATTAGGTAGCACCACAGAATTTGGCATTGACAAACTGATTTTATCTATATGCATTATCTATGTCTATAAAACTCCATCGACCCTAATTGCCAAAAATGGTATTTCCCAAGAAACATAAAATGGAATATTTTTCATGATAAAAGTTCCCAATTCCAGAGTTAGGTAATATTTTTATAAGGACCAACTAAAATGACATTAAAAAGTTTATAGATCCCCACATTCTCCAGAACATAATAAAAAATTGAAAATATATTTTTAGGATTTTGAATTAAAGCCAAGAATTGTTCTAATTCAAACATCAATTTAACAGTGAGGTAAAGATGCGCACCTCCCATTCGGAAGGTTGAGGGTTCAATTCTAGACAGTGGGAAATATTTCTCTAATAGGGCACAAAGAGAAAATATCTGCTGTGAACTCCGTATAGGTGTCAGGAAGGGCATCTGGCCAGTAATGCTCAGCTCCATTTAGTCGCCCCGACTCCATCCTGAATAAAAAGATTAAAGAGTTGTAAAAAATAAAAAAAATAAAAATTCAATTATTTTGATTGATTCTTACCAGAAACCTAATCTAAAACTATATGATATTATTTATGAGACTTATATACCGCTTTAAGTGCAAGCACTCTCTAAGCGGTGTACACCAGTAAACAATGTATATATATATTTACATTGCCCCCAACAATCTGGGTCCTCATTTTACCTACCCCGGAAGGATGGAAGGCTGAGTCAACCTTGAGCCGGTGAGATTTGAACTGCTGACCTGCTGAACACAGTCAGCTAAAGTCGCCTGCAGTACTGCACTCTAACTGCTGCACCACCTCGGCTCTTGCTTAAGGTAACACTCAATGTATACACTTTCACATGCCATTTGAATTCAAATATTATTAATATTTCTAAATATTATTGATGCTTTCAGTTAAATAATAAATATTTTACTTGAGCTGTCTATAGGGAATGATAGTTATCTGGTTATGAATTTTGTTCCAATGAAATGAATTTAAAACCCTTATACAGGTTAATAAAGTTTGTATTTGCATCATCAATTATTTAATATTAGCAGTATATTCCTGCTTGCTATTTTTTTTTCTACAAATGTTGAAAAAAGACCTATGGGGCTTTTTTCCTATATGTTGAAACTATCTTTTGATTCATATTTTAAAAAGGGAGTTCTTCTAAATTTTTAAACTGTTTTTTAGAGTTAGAGTTGCTGGAATACCTGCTCTAGGGTAACATTGAAGCCGAATATAAGCTATTAGTAGTGAAATTTACCCTGCTATAACACGTTGCCTTAGTGTTAATTTTGTTGCCATAGTTACCATGTTCTTTTTGATACATTTAGCATTACCAAACATTTCCCTTTTCGAATTCTGTTGTCAGACCATCTCATTTTATTCATACTGGATAATGCTGATGTTTGAAGAATTATGCAAGCTTTCCATGAAGAAAAAGAAATCTGGCTTTGACGTATGCATTGACTGAGAATCAGGGGAATATGACATTGGTCTAATACATAAATGATCAGTTTTCCTTCTTCTGGTTACTTTCAGTTATGTTAAACTCAATTTCTAACATGTATCTGGAAATTATGAGACCAGTGATCCAAAAGATCTAGAGAACAACAGGTTAGGGAAAATTGATTTTACAGTACACTAATTAGTAGCAGCACTCCCTGGCTTTTCATACAATAATCATTCTCACTGACATTTTAATCAAATGCTATTTATAAAGCAAATGCTTTACCTTTGAATTTTCAGCCGCTACACATTGGCTGCAGTCACACATCATATCAACCATAATGTGGAATATTTGGTCTTTTATTAATTATGTGTGATCTACAGTATGGCTTGTTCAATAAAATATAATTAAAACAAAGTATAGTTAAAAATATTTGACATCTGATTATGGATTTCCTAGATGTATGCCATTATTGTTGCAATGGAGCTTTTTTAGGATAAGGGTGATCTTTATTTTTTAAAGATAGTGGAAGAATAAATACTCCATACATGTTGAAACATATGTCTCTTTCTTTCCAAATAACAATTCCATTTTCTGTACAATATCAGAGGAATGTATTAATATGAAATCAGTAGATCATTTTAATTTTTGCAAAATATGGGAGCCTTATCTAACAATGTTTGGAAGTAAATGAGCACTATTCATACATCTCTATTGACATATTCCCCACCCCATATCCCCATTGTTTGCATGTATCTTGAACTGTAGCATTCAAGGCATAAGTCACAGCTATCTAAATTAATATTAATTGGAAATCTGTTTATGTCTGGCATTATGTAAATCAGGAAGCAAAAAAGCCTTAGAAATGAATCTTAAATCAATACTTCAGCATGTATGCAAAATAATTTATCCTTCTTTTATTACATTAACAATATTAATGAATAAAATCTGGCAAAAGTTCAATGTGCTTATCAGGATGAACTAGCAGTTCATTTGATGTAGATGTAAAATAGGAATTACTCAACTATTTACTCAACAAATACCTTAACACTATGCTGCAAGCTACAAAATAGCCAATTGAACTTGGGCATGTTTGCAGCCATAAAAAAAACCTAAATGATGTTAAAAATATCACCGAAGTACAGAAGGTTGTGTCCTTTCAGATTTTGCGACTAGTAAACATCCAACCTGTAGAGCAGATTTTGTGTCTTCTGTAACAGCCTTGCAGACGACGAGGGAAGAGGTGTTGGTGAAGGAAAATGCTCTGTCTATGAGAGTTACAAACACTCAGGAATGAACGCTTACGCTAGAACAACTCCTCCACTAAACTGGCGTGTTGTGAGAGAATCTGAAAATACTTTATTCTCGCTCCCTCCAACTAATCCCGCAGCCGCGAAAGCACCCCAGGAGTGGATTAAGCGCTCTGCTTAACTTTGCAGGTCCTTATTCTAAAGCTTCGTGGGCCCTCCCGCATCGACGTTTCCCCGCAGAAAAAGCAGGTGCTGCAACGCGCCTCGAGCATTTTGTCGGACAAATCCGCGCCTCTCCTCGTCTTTCTCCCTCCCCCCCTTCCTCCCCCCCTTCCTTCCCTTGGCTCGACCGGCTGGAGATAACGCCCCCGCTCCCGGAGGCGGGCGGCAAAAAAAAAAAAAAAAAAAAAAGGAGGAGGGAGGTTTAAGCTCTCCAGAGGCGGGAACGCGCGCCCACTCCGAGGGCGGGTTGTTATTCCGCGCTCTGGCACCGGCCGCGGTGGCGACTTTGTGCTTTAAATTGGTCTCAAAGCCGATTACGGCTCATCTCCCAAGTGATTATTTTCCTTTCTGGCTCCCGGTGGAGGAGAGGGCTGGGGTCGGGGTGGAGAGGTGAATGGGCATCAGCTGCTAGGAGGAGGAGGAGGAGGACAGGTCTGGAAGCCCCGAGAGCGCGGCGAGGCTGCACTCGGGAAAAGCGCGGCTCGCAGAACTTTCCTGGGCGAAAAGAAGCATAAGGCGCCCAGAACAAGGATGCCACCGGCGCCCCTGGGCGGGCTGAAGCGCTCGGAGCAGCCGCCGGCCGAAACCAAGAAGCTCAGCTACAGCCCCGGACGCCAATAGCGCCCAAGTGGCGACCCCCCCCCAACCAGGACGGAGGAGCGCGCCGGCGCGAGGCTTTGCAGTGGTGCGCCACAGCGGAAGGCTGATGGCTCTGGGTTCCCTCTGGCTTCGCCTCGCCTATCCGGAGAAGCCGCGGTGCCGTTCGACGACGGGCTGGTGACGGCAGGGCTTCCCGTGATCCGAGCGGTTCGCCGTCGGCGCTGGAGGCACCATGCAGAAAAGCGTTCGCTACAACGAGGGGCACGCCTTGTACCTCGCCGTGCTGGCTCGCAAGGAGAGCACCAGGCGCGGCTACCTGAGCAAGAAGACCGCTGAGACGAGTCGCTGGCACGACAAATGGTTCGCCCTGTACCAGAACATGCTCTTCTATTTCGAAGGCGAGCAGAGCACCCGGCCCGCCGGCATGTACATGCTGGAAGGCTGCAGCTGCGAGAGGGCGCTCGCTCCAAAGGGCGCATCCGCCGTCAGTGTTAAGGACTCGGCGCTGGACAAGCAGGTAGCAGCCCCGCCCTCCCTAGGGCTCTCCCTTCCTCAACGTAGCAATCGGTCTCCTCTATTGCGTAGGCTCCCTTACCGCTATGGGACATTGGCACAGAAGGGACTCAGGTTTAACATGGGGCGCCTTGGCACTAAGTCATCGCGCGACCGCGGGGGTCTTCTCTGCTGAAGTTCTTGGCGTAGCCGCGTCGCGTGTTGTGTAAGGAGGAGGAGAACGTAAGGCAGGTGGAGATCTGTGCTGTTTGGCTCGCCCTGAGCTTACAAGTTTGAACTCTCGACTAGCTTTTCTCAATTTTCTAGATGAGTTGCAATACAAACCCTTCTGACTTTCCCATCTAGCATCGGAAAGGCTGTCGAATTAGTTAGGGTGTGCTTGATGCACAAAATGCCTTTAATTTCGAGAAAATAGCAAACAGCTCAACTTGAAACATTCGATCCAAAAGTTTAGAGTTCTCTTATTTTCAGCCCCACCGAATTTTGGAATGGCTTGACTGATCTCAGAGAAGTAAGAGTAGCTAGAATGCTAGTATGTTAAACTTTACTCCTCACCCAGTGAGGATGAAATTTATCAAGTGCATGATTTTCAACACATTTTGGAAAAAGTCCCCAAGAGAACAAATAGGAACATTTCTCTTACCTGACAAATGTAGTTAGATTAACATGTCTTTAAAAAGCTGTCAGCAGAATTGAAGGTATTTTCAGTTTCTTGAAATAAATCCTCTAGATTTTTCAGCCCATAGAATACAGGATGAAGACAGCAGCTAAACTCTTTAACATTCCTTTGAATAGGGATCATTGTTAATGTTTGGTTTTTAAATTTTTAGTAGACACTGTTGTTTTTTTCAGGCTGCCTGCCAGGTGCAAATTATGTTTTGTTTCCTGATGCCTTTGCTGGCATATAGCAGTGACTGCTGGCTGAAAAAAAAAATGGTCTCCTGATTCTTCTTAACTGTTTAATAACATTAATTTACAAAGAGACATGAGAGAATGCATACAGTGTATTTAGTGCCCATCAAAATTCAAGGCAATACAGGCAATCCTTGTCATAGAACCACAATTAAACCCAAAATTTATGTTGCTAAGTGAGAAATTTGTTACATTTTGCTCCATTTTACTTAGCTTGCCACATTTGTTAAGTGAATCACTGCAGTTGTTAAGTTAGGGACATGGTTGTTAAGTGAATCTGGCTTCCCCATTAACTTTACTTGTCAGAAGGCTGCAAAAGATGATCACATGTCCCCGGGACACTGCAACCATCAGAAATATGAACCGGTTGTCAAACATCCTAATGTAAATCACATGACTGTGGGGATGCTGCAATGATCAGAAATGTGAAAAATGATCATGTCACCTTGTTCAGTGTTGTAACTTTGAATGGTCACTAAATGAATTGTTGTAAGTCAAGGACTACATGTATAGTTCAGTACTACAGTACTAGTCTTTATATTTATGTAATCTTAGAATATTATGAAGGAGATTAGGGCACAAACCAGTATATGCATACTTTTGACTAACACTGATGATGTTACCTAGTTTGTGGGTAATGAAACATCTGTGAGAAAACAACCAAGCTCAGAGAGCACCAGGGGTTCCTCATACATTTGGATTGCCTTTCTGCAAATAAAATACAGCACAACAATCGGAACACTCACTTTAACTCCAGCTTCCATTTAGAAAGTTTTTGTTGTTATTTTGAAACAGCAATAATTTAGCGGACATGCAGCTTTGACTAACTTTCTTCTTGAGTCTAACTCTGTGTTTAATGCAATTCTATCTGCTGTATTGGCTAAACAAGAAAACATTGGGGGGGGGGGAGAAAAGCCCAATCATAACTGTTGTTCTTGGAAAACAAAAACATTTGAAAATAAAGCTTCTTGAAACAATCACATTTTATTTCACTCTTGGAAAAAAATGTGCTCTGCAAATCAGTTTGATACAAAACACATGAGTTTTAATTCAAGATTGGAACACTCAGGTATTTTGAGGTGAGAATATTTTTGAAGTTGTTTTGAGGTTATAGTCCAACTCATTAGAAGGCACCAGATCAGGGAAGATTGGTCTAAAGCATGCTGACTGGAACTTTGTGAGATGTAATCCAATTTATCTGAAATATACCAGATTGGGTCTAGAATAAGGCTTTTAAATATTGCTGTCTCTTTTTGAACTATATCCCTTGGTGATACTGATCAGCTCTTAGTGTGGAACAAGGAATTAGATGGTTTTCCATGGAACAAATGGTGTGATAACTTGATGGTATGCTGCCGCTTTTGAAAAGTTTTCCATGAGGTATCATGAAATATAATGGTAAAGATGTTAGTCAGAGATGAAGGAGCTCAGCCATAGAAAAGGATGTGATGGCTTTGAGGTAGTCTATCTTAATTTAATCTGCCTGGTAGGATTGTTTTTGTGAGAAAAATTGGAGGAGGAGGCAGAGCTGTTTATGACATCCTAAGGAAAATATATGATAAAAATTTGATTAATAAATGGATTTAATCTATTTAGAAACTAGTTGTGGAACTTTTAATGTGAAATGTTTCAAGTATTTGAAATGTGTAAACCTTCAGATGTTTAAATACATATATTTCTGAAGTTTTTCTTATAAAAACAGATTGTGTACTGATTTGTATAATTTATTAAACCTTACTGAATTAATTTTAATTTTGTGATCATAATTTTTTGTTTCTTGAAACATAATTCTGGCATTTCTTTAAATATAATGGGTCCAATTATCCTGATGATGAATCAAAAGAGCTTAGTGGTGTTTATAAGATGAATTTATTTGAACTTGAATACCGCTACAGTTGTTCACTACAGTTGTGTAGATCCACAAGTAGGAAGCAATTAGCAATGGTAGTTTTTAAAAATTGGAAACATTATTGGAAAATTGAAAATTTAGTAAAGGATGCATTTTTAACTGCTATTTTGATTCAATACAGGACTATTCTAGACTCTACTAAAAACTACTAATAAAATAATTTGGTTGTTGAATCAAATTGTTTATACATGTAGTTTTCTTAAAATGAGGAAAAAATATTTTACGCATTCAGAAATGGTAAATGATACAAAGTAACAGAATACTCAATGAATGATAATACAATGTAAATTCTTATAGTGTAATCATTTACAAGTCTACTCAAAAATAAATTTCATCATATTCAATAGGTATTTCTAGAATAAGGGCTAGTTTTAGTTATATGCTACATCAGATTTCAGCACTGGAATCTTTATTGCCAGTGCATTGTTCCTATGTGAATACAAATTTGCATTTGATGATAGTCATTCATTTTTCTTGATTTATAGAATCAAACAGGTGTCAGTTTCTTTGGAACCTCTGGAATTTTATCTTTAAAGGAATGCATTTTTGACATTTAAAAAAATAGGAATTAAATTCTTCATAGCTTCAAAAAAATCCATCAATTTAACTATATAAAAAAACCAAACCATGCCAGAAAACAAACGTTCATCTGTTCCAGTGACAGACAGTTAACATTTTTAGATATATTTATAGAAATCAAGAGAATTTAAAAAAAATATTTTTAAAATAGGACTATTTGTTTTTCTACTTTTGTGACAGGTTTAAGCATAAATGGTTTCATGCTTGGTTATCATGATCTAAATAAACACACACACACACACACACACACACACACACACACACACACACACAAATAAATTCTTGGCCAGTTCATTTTCCCTCTAGCCTTGACCTCAGCCCCAAACAATATTAACTGTATTAAATTATATTAATTATATTAAATTATATTGAATGCTAATTTTGGCTAAGGAGATACATGCGCTTAAAATCTTGATAAAATAAATGTAATATATTTAATAGCAAATAAGTTTTATGGATTAAGCCTGAATTTATTTCATTTGTATTTACTGTATTTCACTGCAATACTATATTTGATGATCTGGGGTGGTGATATGGTGATATAGGTGGCACAGAATAAATTATCAATT